CGTCCGCGTTACCACCGGCTATACAATTGCGTTGAGAAACACAACCAGATTAGGAAGTTTCGCATGTGCCAGGCCACCACCATGCCTGTGCTACCAGGGTGGCAGATGCAGCGGCTAACGGCGAGGGTGAGGTGGTGAGTCTCACAACCAATGCCCGACAAGGGGGCTAACCTTGTTAGGTGCATCCATGTTACCTTCACTCCGAGTAGTGAGAACCCAGTTGACTGATCACCGCATTTGCTAGCACTGTACACGCTCCCTGCTCCCAGCGCGGGTCTCAAACTAGGGACCTTGTGACTCGCAGGCAAGCCCACAACCACTCGGCCAAAGCGCTGGTAATAGTGATATGTAGCGATGTGGTCAGGTACGCCACTGTGCATGTGACAGGTCTAAAGACAGGTTAACAGCCTACGCCTGGTTATGACAAGTCTGCGGTTGATTTGACAGGGGAATTTTGGAAGCCCGGTGCCGTTTCAGGCGTTTAGTGGAGGACCTCGTGGAGGACCTTGCCAGCTCTCGATTGCTGACAGATTTGCACACTCAGTTGACTAAAGTTTATGAGCACCAATCCCGCCAGCAGGAATTGACGAACGCATTCACCGTTCCGAATCATTCGATAGAAGAAGTCAGTCACCTTTTTCTCTGTACAGAACGTAGTTTCTCTTCTCTTTACGAGTCTTGGCACTTGATTGCACCATCTACAGTGTAGCCTTCGCAGGTCAATTGCGAACGAAAGATCTTAGCTAGAACTTACTTAGAAGTCACTGTTACTGCAACAGGTATAAGCTCAAGGAGCTGCATATGCGCATAGCGATCGCTGTCAGTACTTCTGACCCACCCAGTGGCACCGAGGGCCATCCAAGATAGTTCAACGACACTGGTAAGGCCTATTCCGTATGTTATTTTTGCAATGCACATCCCACATGTACAATGTACATGTGTACAATCATGTACATGTACGTAGCGGTCGGCGGTGTGTAGTAGCTACTACTACATGTACTACTCAGTGATCTAGCCAAAGCCGGCTCAGCCGGCAGAATGTCGGCTGAGACAGCTCCAAGGTTGATTTTGGCCTGCTGCAGTCACCCCCATGTAGACTGTAGTGCACTGCACTGCACTAGCACTTGAGTGGAGATGGTGGAGTACAACCCATATACTAGGCATAGGTACCACCACCACCACCACCACCACCACCACCACCACCACCACCACCACCACCACCACCACCACCACCACCACCACCACCACCACCACCACCACCACCACCACCACCACCACCACCACCACCACCACCACCACCACCACCACCACCACCACCACCACCACCACCACCACCACCACCACCACCACCACCACCACCACCACCACCACCACCACCACCACCACCACCACCACCACCACCACCACCACCACCACCACCACCACCACCACCACCACCACCACCACCACCACCACCACCACCACCACCACCACCACCACCACCACCACCACCACCACCACCACCACCACCACCACCACCACCACCACCACCACCACCACCACCACCACCACCACCACCACCACCACCACCACCACCACCACCACCACCACCACCACCACCACCACCACCACCACCACCACCACCACCACCACCACCACCACCACCACCACCACCACCACCACCACCACCACCACCACCACCACCACCACCACCACCACCACCACCACCACCACCACCACCACCACCACCACCACCACCACCACCACCACCACCACCACCACCACCACCACCACCACCACCACCACCACCACCACCACCACCACCACCACCACCACCACCACCACCACCACCACCACCACCACCACCACCACCACCACCACCACCACCACCACCACCACCACCACCACCACCACCACCACCACCACCACCACCACCACCACCACCACCACCACCACCACCACCACCACCACCACCACCACCACCACCACCACCACCACCACCACCACCACCACCACCACCACCACCACCACCACCACCACCACCACCACCACCACCACCACCACCACCACCACCACCACCACCACCACCACCACCACCACCACCACCACCACCACCACCACCACCACCACCACCACCACCACCACCACCACCACCACCACCACCACCACCACCACCACGCCACCACCACCACCACCACCACTACTACTACTACTACTACTACTACTACTACTACTACTACTACTACTACTACTACTACTACTACTACTACTACTACTACTACTACTACTACTACTACCGCCCGTGGTACCGGTAGACTGCGGTAGTACTAGTAGTAGTATCCCACGGCATCCTTGTGTGTTATGGTGTTGCTCATGCATGCAGTATCGTGTGTGCCGATAGTACCTACTGGTCCCTTGAATGTGCAAGTACCATGTACAGTAGGTACATGTACATGTACCTACTGTACCTACACCACCACTACTACTACTACTACTACTACTACTACTACTACTACTACTACTACTACTACTACTACTACTACTACTACTACTACTACTACTACCGCCCGTGGTACCGGTAGACTGCGGTAGTACTAGTAGTAGTATCCCACGGCATCCTTGTGTGTTATGGTGTTGCTCATGCATGCAGTATCGTGTGTGCCGATAGTACCTACTGGTCCCTTGAATGTGCAAGTACCATGTACAGTAGGTACATGTACATGTACATGTACCTACTGTACATGTACATGGAACTAGCTATCAGAAGCGACTTGCTGGTCGCCTCGCCCTCAAGTGGGACAAGCCATTTTCTATCATCATGGCTTGGGTGCGAGTTCGCAGCCAGTTTGCAGTGATCCATGCAGTCGACCTCCGGCTACGCGGGTCTAGAAGGCGCCTGACAGGCCTGTCGACGCAGGATGGTGCTGGGGTAGGCATCGGCCATTGAAAACTGAATTCCGTCCGTTTTGCGTGGAATTTCTTGGAGTTTCCCAATGTATTGTACTTGAATAAAATTCTATTTTAACTTTCATGGTATCTCAATTTTTTCACGTCTACATGACTTTATTTTGCCCGTAAAAGAGGCCGTTACCCCCGTAAAAAAAAAAAAAAAAAAAAAAAACTGTACATGTACATGTACATGTACATGTACATGTACGGGCACCAGAACCTGAGACATGAGACTCGTAGAAAAGAAAAAGGCCAAACCCTGCCCTGCCAGTTATTTGGACTTTACGGGGGTCGCCATGGCAAATAATAATGGAAAAACCAAGATCAATCATGCACGCAACACAAGTGAAAGTAGAAGAAAAATGGAACAGAGGATCACGACAGAAGTGGCAGTCTGCTGCGGCCAGCACAGCGGGAATGTCAGCCAAAGCTCCGTTAGATTTCGGTTGAGCGGTGCGATGTCCACGGAGGCTAGCATTAATTTTGCTGAGCCGACAAGATAAGAGAGAAATGTGGGACTGCAGGCGTAAGTGCATGCATTCCGCCACACATGTACATGATAGTACAGTGGAAATTTTTATTTCCATTGCTATCAGGTTCGGCCTCATTTCCTCTGTGCTGCGCTGATGAGTTCAAAAAGAACGAAACAGCATGCTGTCCGCAGATTGAGTATTTCGCTCCTGCTCTTGAGTCTTGTAGCAGTTGAGCACTCTTGCGTGGGGTAGTGCCTTTGCTGTTTGCGTTATGCAGAGCTCACTGACTTGTCAGTTTGAGCACTCTGGCAAGGTACGGTCGGGCCTGATTGGAAATTTTTATTTCCATTGCTATCAGGTTCGGCCTCATTTCCTCTGTGCTGCGCTGATGAGTTCAAAAAGAACGAAACAGCATGCTGTCCGCAGATTGAGTGATAGTACAGTCATGTACATTGTACATGTGTGATAGGTTTAGTGCAGCTGTCAGTGCCGCACTGAACCAAGTAGTGCAGCTGTCAGTGCTGCACTGAACCCGTGACTCACTCAACACAGTCTGCGCTTCAAGAGGCTGCACCTCGAAAGACAGTAAGTACAGTTTCGACCTAACCCGCTCACACATACATACATAGCAGCACCCCCGAACGCAGCCACGCAGTGGCACGCATCCGCAATCCATGCAAGTCTCTCACATGATGAATATCTCAGCTAGTAAAATACTATCCGATCCAGGTTTGAGAACTGATCGCGTGACACCGTGACACCGACACTGACACTTGGAGAGGCTCCTGAGTGGAGGAGGTGTAAAATGTCCATTATTGTAAGAAGTGCTGAATCGAGCGCGTAAACCCAGAGTGCACTTGAGCGGAACAAGGGGAGTCGATAGCGCATGCCTGGCGTCAGGGGGTGCAAGGCCATTGTGCTGCGATATTGGCGTGAGTTTGACACAACAATAATATTTCATGTATGTAAAGAGAAAAGGACCTACAAGTACATTGTGGAAGTAATTACATTGTAGTTACTAGTTAGGACTAAGAGAAAAAAGAAAAAAAACTAAGAATCCACCAAGGTAACGATTTAATATACAGTCAGATAGTGCGACAAGGCACAAAACTGACAAGGATATTAGGGTATGGAGGCTCACCGACGTTCCGCCAGAACGTGGGTGAAAATCAGATTGGAGCGCATTGTGCAAGCTGTGAGGGTGCTCAGCTGAAGAAAATCAAAATATTCGATGAGCTTCGAAGCTTCTTCTGTTAGCTGGTCTAATGTCGCAATATCCTTGTCAACTTCGTGCCTTGTTGTCGCACTATCTAACTGTATGGGTATGATCTCGCTACCCTGGTGGACTGTTTTAAATCATAACTAGTAACTTATAGGTTCTTTTCTCTTTTACAATATTACTATTGGCTCGACATTCGAGTTTATAAATTTGGCAGAGGCAGTGCGTCTGATCAGATGTTGCCTGATGATTGGTCTTTGCCATGAAACTCTGAGTAACAACGAAAAAGCCCTACATTGTATTTTACTTCCGTTTGCGTGCCTCATGAGTATTGTAACACTGTATGGTGTTCTGTTGTTTATTGAAGTTTCCATTGCGCAGGTTTAGTGAACATGACGACGAACATTGGCCTCAGCGATACGTGCACTCCTTTCGAAGCAAGAATCACGGCTCTAATTGAGAGGTACAATCGCCTAGAGAAGCGACTCGCCCAGGACAGGGAGCTGATCGTGCTCCTGTGTCTGGAGAACGATGTCGGACAGCTGCTTGATCGGCTAGAGACAGGATATCCATCCTACGGTCTCCGGACAGGTATGACAAACCGCATACTGTCTACCAGGGAGCACTTATGTTTTAGTGCTCGAAACCTTTATTTGAAAGAACCCGAAGTTAAAATAGCAATAAGAAGCAAAGCAAGTTAGTATTCCCTGGTGTACACTAGCTCCAGAGGCGCTGTGAAATGTTCTGTAGTAATCTGTACTCTTGATTCTTCACAGTCCAGTAAAACCTGTCAAGGCGACTACTCGAATAAGGCGACCACGTGTCCTAAAAGACCGCAGAAACCAGGACCAATGGATTATATTTCCAGTCAAATGACCCTGGATAAGGAGATGACTTGGTAACCGAGACTACGTTTCGAAGGTACCTTGAGCGGTCGTTTTAGACAGGTTTTATTGTATGTACATGACATTGTACATGTTCTATGGAGAACTGTCGGTGCATGGAAAAACGGTCGTTAAGATCAGGTGGTTGCTAATACGAGAGGTCGCTGACCCAAGGTTTTACTGTATTTAGTATTCACACTGTACATGTATGTCAGGATTACACAGATGCTGAAAGGCCTTTCGAGGAGTGTCTGTATGAAATACGCATCGTATCGTTCTTTAGAATATTCGTTTCACCCCTACTTACAGTAAGGAGTCGGTCACTGTGTGTGTGTGTGTGTGCGTGTGCGTGTGTGAGCGTGTGTGTGTGTGTGTATGTGTATGTGTATGTGTGTATGTGTGTGTGCGTGTGTGTGTGTTTACAGGTCAAAAGATAGCCGAATGCACGGAGTCTCCTCAAAAGCATCCAGCACCAGTGTGCTATGCTCTGCATTCAACACCGATGGAAAAGCATCCTGATGACTCTACAGCTCCGCCTGGGCCGCCACTTCCCGTACAGGAGACATCTGTGAAGCCAGGCTACGGCTAGCAACCTGTGACACTCTCAGCACACATGTACATGTACATTGTACATTATCCTGGAGTGAATGTTCAGTATGGTATATTTTATTGTACATTATCCTGGAGTGAATGTTCAGCATGGTACATTGTACGAGTTACATGTACAATGTGCAAGTACAAAGTCTTGTTCCTGTATACATGTACATGTATGTTCGCAGCTGAAACTTTTTAAACTTCAGTTTCTTTTCCCCTTGGCCCTTTTCCCTTTTTTGAAGACGATTATTAAGATGTATTTGTAGATTAGTTCAGGTATCCTTGCTGCATCGCTAGATTATAGCTCACTTTATCGGCCACAGATCAAACGCACTGCAAGCCCCCTTCCCGCAAGCGCGTAAACACAGGCACACATACACACATACACACACACACACTCACACATACACACACACACACTCACACATACACACACACACAATCACATCCGCTCATGCACAAACATGTAGACATTTGCTCACACAAACACACACACATGCACGCAAACAGTCACCATTTTTGCCTGCACATTTTTGTGGAGTAAATCTGGGTTAAAAAAACTCAAAATGTTAACACATGTTTCGGTACACGTATCCCAATTCATAACATTGTAGAACGAGGAGAAAATTTTTTTTCTTTGAACGTTCTAATATCTGCTTCGTTTAGTAAGAAATTTGAATCGTATGATTGTACTACTTGTTTGACATTCTAGTAATTAGTATGGTCCCATCTCATTGTATGGTCCCAACCTTGGAAAGCGCCCTGATAATTATGAAGGCTGAAGTGATGTACATGTACACTGTACTACATTGTATGTCATTGTAGCAACACACGGACACGACAGTAGTACAACCCCCCCCCCCCCCTCTCCCGTCGTTGGTTGAACGCCTGAAGAGTGAAGTGAAGCAGACTACAATACAATGCATGCACAGTACATTGTAGAAGTGTACAGTCATGGATGTCAAAGGATCCAGAGCCAGTGCATGAAGCGCTGCTCTGTATCTTCAACGTCCAGAAAATGATTTTACTCACTGATTTGAGGGAAAAACGCAAACGGGAAAAGTCTGAAGAAAACATTGACTGTCACCACCAGGACTCAAACCAGGGACCCTCGCTTTGAAAGTGATTTTACTTTATCACTCCCTAATTAGTATTGATATCCACAGATAAAAGCAGTCATACATGTACAAAGATCACACAGCAATGAAGCTTCATTGCTGCGTGATCTTTGTATTACAATACTGGCTCTGTCCACTGGACATACATGTACATGTACTGTAATTTCACAAATTTTCGGTGTACTTTTATTTTCGGTACTTTCGGTGCGTCTGTTTCATACCTAAAATTTCAATACACCGAACAAACCCTGTCCTCATCATCAATCATGTCTTCATGACACGCTGGTTTCAAGAGATGTCATCGTTCATCGAATAAGTCTAGACACATCCACGATTCCATGTACATGTACATGTACATGTACTTCACCAAAACACTGACTGTCAGTGGCACACACTGACACAGACCACTGACCCATACTACCATAGCCTGTTCCAGTGTGGACTGCACTCACGCGCTCGCTGCCGGTCTTTGCACCGCCTAGCACTGTACTGGATGCATGGCCGTCAGCGTGTCAGAATGCAGTAGAACGCTTGTCGAAATCCCCAAAGTAAACGGGACGATTTGGAATCAATCTGGCGATTCGCGATCTCATCATTATTAGCAGCTGAACCACGAGGATACTAGTAGTAGTCAGTAGTACTAGTACTGGTATATGACCGGACGTCTGAAGAGCAGAACTACACTGTTCTGATATTTCTGACAAACCGACATTTTAGTTGTTGTTTGCAGCCAACTCTTTTTGCATCGTGTATCGCATCGTGTATCGTGATCAATAGACTAGTGTAGCAACTCTCGTTACACATCATTACACATGTACTGAAGAGCATCCGATCTCCACAAACAACAAGGTAAGGTCTTACAATGCAATAGCTAACGAACATGCCAGCTGAGAAGTAGTTACGCTGGTACGAGGTGATTATGCATTTTTATTGCATGATTGTAAAATCGTACAATATCGGGGTGTCAGTGCGCATGTGTATACATTTTTTGGCCTCACTCAGAAGATGATCCCTTTTTTTCTATCTTCACCAAGTTTCAACTGAATATGACTATCATAACGCCCCAAGGAATGGATCATGTTTGGGTTGATATGATGCTATGAATATGAACGTTTTAGATTCTAAGCATTGTGTAAAATGACTATGTTTAGTGTTATTTCATCGCATTCTTCCATTCTACACACATACATGTACATGCTAGAACAGTGACAAGTACTAATGCCAAAAAACCAAAGTCTTCTGCAAGCAATTAGAGCCCTAAAAATGTGGCTTCCCAGCATCCACTGAAACCAAAAAGTTTTAAAGAACCACAACATGTGCATTACAATTGAAATAGAGCATGGCCCGGGTCTGGCAACACCACAGAAGCATGATTACTTGAAGATCATAGTAGCGTGTGGACTATGAACAGAACAATGAACCGGAATAAATAAGAAAGAAGAAGAAATTGTCCGAAGGGCCGGCAGGAGAACGTGTCCAAACCTGCGCCACACATGGTCGTCAGCTCAACTGGATCCACTGGATGATGGCTGGTTTCCTCTTGGTGTCGGCCGAGCAGCATATCCAGTTGGTAGCCTGGGTCCGCTGTAATTGCTGGGCCGTGGGAGTCTAGGCTGCATCAGGAAGGCTGGTCGAGGTGAAACAGCCACCGTTGCCCTGTGTAGTGGAGTTGAAACACTCCTAGGCCAGAAGGATGTACCAGGGGATGCTGATGGCGACATGGTGGCCGCCGGGGACGGGAGACTGCTGATGGTCGTGGTTGTTGACGCTGACGCTGGGGAACATGACACTGGGATTTCGTAGAAGAGGTTGACAAGCTCTCGTATATTCTTGTCTTGTCTGTGTGTGTGTGTTGCTTCTCCAGGTCATCGCTCTTGAGCTTGTTCTCAAGGTGTGAGGCCAACACACCATGCGTTTCATTGCCTTTTTAAAACCGGGCTCTTGGTGAGAATCAGAAGGGCAGAAAGGTGCTTCTTCTGAAGTTTACCAAGTGCGTGTGCTAGGCCCTGGTGATGGTGGCTCCACAACAGCTTTGCTGCATCCTTTGCAGCCAGCTGACGATCTTCGCACTTCTGCTGCTCTTTGGCTTTCTTGGTCGCTTCACGTTCCTTGCGCAATGTCTCCTGCTCCTCCTTCCTCTTGTGCCTCTCCTCCAGTTTTGCGCGTCCTGCACCGTACGTCAGTGGACCAAGCCTGAAACCAACACAACATTACAGCTAAATGTTGGAAAGAATAGAGCACATCACGCCATACATGTACATTGGCTGGGACAATCAATTTCTAACTTGAAGAGGATAGGATTACTGTTGTGATCGTAGCGTACAACATGCATTACTTCATTGGATACACTCTGCAACTACAGTAACTAACCCCATTCTTACCTGAAGTCCTCTCCACCCAAACGCAGACTGTCAACATTGGCATCAGAGTCGGAATTCCCTGAATCCGAAGAGTCGGAGGGGTCGGAATGTGACTCAATGCGGGCATTCTGCTGAAATTGTAGACAGCTGGTGTCCAGAACGACTTCTGAGGCATTTGACCGATCAAGCTTCTCCTGCGCAGACTCCTCACTCTTCCTCAGATCCCAGTATAGCTTCCGGTTGTAGCCTTTTGTTGCGGGATCAAAGCCAATCTCCTTCCATCCTTTGCGGCTGATATCTGGATGGAATGCATCCTCCCATGGCTGCTTGATGACCTTAACCATATCTGCTGCCAGCAACCTTGGTGGTTCTCCTTTCAGCACTTTCTGTACGAGCAGATCCGACTTCATCTGTTTAGCCTTCCTCTTGAACACAGGGAAATTCGCTATATCAGCAACTTGTGATACATGGCTGGTGTGTGGCACACGCAACTGAATGATCGTGCCAACTTCTTCCGCCGCCGTCACCATTGGCATTGTTGTATGGGCCCCATAGCCGTCGCATAGCCCATATGCCTTTTTGCCTTCCTTCTTCGGGAGACATGGCCCTACGACCTCTTTCAACCAGAGTGGCGTAAGTTGGTACGAAAACCCACCGGAGGGATGCGGGTAGAACTGGCATGGTCGACGGTCACCAGTTTCGGGATCGACCAAGTTGGATCTTGGGGGATCCTTCATTAGGCTGAGCTGCATACTCTTGGATGGTGGTGTGGCACATCCAGGCAAGGCATCACCATTCATGAATGAGCCACCTGTGAGGGTCCATCGGACACTGGACTTGTTCCTTACGCACGTGCCATCATCATCACTGTCCACGGTCATGGTCTTCTCTGTGGGCCCCTTTCCGTCGTTTGTCTGGTCCAAAGTAAAGCCCGTCTGGTCCCACTCGAAAACCATATCTGGGTTGGTGTCATAGAACATGATATCATATGGCTCACTGTCCTTGAAGCTGTCGTTCTTCACAGCAATGCCACACTGAATCATACCATCCATCACGACTTCATACCAGGAGCAGAAGTGATCACTTGTTGTCCACCTCTTGCGGTCCATTTCCAGCCGGACCTGGTTTTTCATCTTAATGCCATAGCGGTTCCTGAACGAGTAATACCAAGCATACGTTACTTGCTTGTCCTTGAACAAGTCAGCTAGCTCAGTTCCTTTGATGAGGTGGTTAGCTGCACCAACTATCAGCGACTTGCCTGCCTTTAGGTTCAGAGCACGTAATTTCTGTACGAACTCCACAAGTTGGACTTCATATCGCATTGGCAACTTCGCTCTCTGGCCAGTTCTGCATGGTGTCTGGACATTCACGACGGTAACATCAGGTTCCAGCAAGGCCTCATATTCTCTCAACTTCAGGTGAAGTGTCGTGTCAGACACTTTGATGTTCATCAAGGCTAAGATGCTCTGCGCCCATCCTTCCGCAGATTGCCCGTGTGCATTGACTCCACGGCCCATTTCACGCCCTCACGATACATGCCCACCAATCCATGTGTCCCATACTTGACATTGTCACCAGGACGTGTGCATTTGGCTTTGATGGCAGCCTCCACTGTTGCCATGTCAAACTCTATGCCACCAGGTGCAGATGGTGTGGTCACTGAACCATTGTCGTGAACATCTGGCAGAGGTGGAGGAGGAAGGTGCCAACTCTTAATGTTTGACAACACGCCAGACACCTCCAGTTCCTTCTCTATATGTCGGAACATCTGTCGACTCACGTCAAATGCATTTGCCGCAGCGGCCTTCGAACGAAATGCACTGTTCGTTACAGGAGAATAGAATGCTCTGACAGCGAACGTTGCTCGCTTGCTAGCTGAATCTGTGCTGGGTTCATCCGGCTCAATATTTGATGCCATATCTGTATCAGAAGTCGTTTTATGGCTTTCTTCTCCATTAGCAGATCCAGTGCTGTCGCTACTACTGCTATTACATGAACTTTCTGGGCCTGGTTCGGCAGGCTCCTCACAAACGGGATCCATAAAAGGGCGATTTTACATTATTTCGGCTACTGAAGCGATCGCGAAGAGCAACAAACTGCTCTAAAATAAAGACAAACCTAGTCTTCTTGAACAAAACACATGCTGGGAAAGGAAGATGAAGACCGAGGGAAGTCTCTCACTGTGCTATATTTGGAATATTGTACCGCATGCATTGGATATGTACGAGACGGTTTGCTGATTTTACGCATTTGCTTAGAAACGAAAAATGCTTAGAAATGCATAATCACCTCGTACTAGTAGTAGAGAAGAGATCTCGTGTCGTGAGTGACTTGCACGTACACGTATGATTGTAGTGCTTGTTTGACATTCTAGTATAGAAATTGGTCCCATGAGGCTGCTGGCCTGGCCCTCCAGAACTGACTACTTATATACATGTACATGTACATGTATATGCGCACCAGACCATAACGACGGTGACAGGTATGAATAGTCGCACTGTCACAAACTGACTTGTCAGGGGAGAGCTAGAGGCTAGAGCAGTAGAGGCAAGATGATGGCGGCGTGGATCAATACTAGTACAGGTGGAATCATGATAATTGGAATACATGTATGGCTTAATTCGAACATACCGCTTAATTCGAATACATGTATGGCTTAATTCGAACATACCGATTAATTCGAATACATGTATGGCTTAATTCGAACATACCGCTTAATTAGAAGTTTTTCCAGGACAGATTTCTATCAGTACGATTCCCGCATAAGAAATTCTGATAATTCGAACCTCGAACTGGACATGTCCGGTTAATTAGAAGTCCCACAGATTCCAATTACATGTACATGTACATGTACATAGAAAATGTGTGTGATTTGTGCTGATAATTCGAAGTTAGCAAAGTGTAATTCGAAGTTCACTGTACAAAGCTCTTGCCGTTCTTAAAAGAAGGTCTAACGTTAAGGGACGATAATGAAGTTCTTTGTTGCGCATCCCTTCCCTTCATTGGAACTTTCCCCACCTGAGCCTTCCAAGTTGGAAGGTTGTTTGCGCTTCGTAGATGTGTTGGAACTAGGTGTCACGTCGTCGAATGTCTCAATATCCTAATATGTGTTGTGTCTTGTTGTCGCACTATCTGACTGTATAAATATGATCTCGCTACCCTGGTGGACTGTTTTAAATCATAACTAGTAACTTATGGGTCCTTTTTCTCTCTTGCATACTATGGGCTCAACATTCGAGTTTATATTATTATTACATTGTGCAGAGGCAGTGCGTCTGATCAGATGTTGCCTGATGATTGGTCTTTGCCATGAAACTCAGAGTAACAACGAAAAAGCCCCACATTGTATTTTACTTCGGTTTGCGTGCCTCATGAGTATTGTAACACTGTATGGTGTTCTGTTGTTTATTGTAGTTTCCATTGCGCAGGTTTAGTGAACATGACCACGGAAATTGGCCTCAGCGATACGCGCACTTCTTTCGAAGCAAGAATCACAGCTCTAATAGAGAGGAACAATCGCCTGGAGAAGCGACTCGCCCAGGACAGGGAGCTGATCGTGCTCCTGTGTCTGGAGAACGATGTCGGACAGCTGCTTGATCGGCTAGGGACAGGACATCTATCCTACGGTCTCCGGACAGGTATGACAAACCACATACTGTGTACCAGGGAGCACTAATGTTTTAGTACTCGAAACCTTTATTTGAAAGAACACGAAGTTAAAATAGCAAAAAGAAGCAAAGCAAGTTAGTATTCCCTGGTGTACACTAGCTCCAGAGGCGCTGTGAAATGCTCTGTAGTAATCTGTACTCTTGATTCTTCACAGTCCAGTAAAACCTGTCAAGGCGACCACTCAAATAAGGCGACCACCTGTCCTAGAAGACCACTGAAACCAGGACCAACGGATAATAATAGTTCCAGTGAAATGACCCTGGATAAGGAGATGACCTGGTAACAGAGACCACGTTTCGAAGCCGAAGGTACCTTGAGCGGTCGTCTTAGACAGATTTTACTGTATGTACATATACATGTATATGGGTTTATCGGGTGTTAGCGGGCGTCGTGAGTGGGTGCACATCCAGTGCATTTGCAGACATGGTACATGGTACATGGTACGTGTGTGTGTTTGTTTGTTTTTACTTTGTGTTACTTCGCAAAATCCAAACGGGAACTTCTTCCCGTTTACAAGGTAGCAAAGAGGGAAGAAAAAAGAGACAGAGAGAGACAGAGAGAGAGAGAGAGACAGAGAGAGAGAAAATGATTGTGTGTGTGTGTGTGTGTGTGTGTGTGTGTGTGTGTGTGTGTGTGTGTGTGTGTGTGTGTGTGTGTGTGTGTGTGTGTGTGTGTGTGTGTGTGTGTGTGTGTGTGTGTGTGTTCACAGGTCCACTCATAGCTGAATGCACGGAGTCTCCTGAAAAGCATCAAGCACCAGTGTGCTATGCTTTGCATTCAACACCGATGGAGAAGCATCCTAATGAATCTACAGCTCCGCCTGGGCCGCCACTTCCCGTACAGGAGACATCTGTGAAGCCAGGCTACGGCTAACAACCTATAACACTCTCAGCATACATGTGCATGTACATTGTACATTATCCTGGAGTGAATGTTCAGTATGGTACATTGTACATTATCCTGGAGTGAATGTTCAGCATGGTATATTGTACATTATCCTGGAGTGAATGTTCAGCATGGTATATTGTACATTATCCTGGAGTGAATGTTCAGTATGGTACATTGTACATTATCCTGGAGTGAATGTTCAGCATGGTATATTGTACATTATCCTGGAGTGAATGTTCAGCATGGTATATTGTACGAGTTACATGTACAATGTACAAGTACAAAGTCATGTTCCTGTATGTGTACATGTAGGTTCGCAGCGGAACATTTAAAATCTTCAGTTTCTTTTCCCTTTGGCCCCTTTCCTTTATTTGAAGACGATTATTAAGATGTATATGTAGATTAGTTTAGGTGTCCTTGCTGCATCGCTAGATTAGAGTTCACTTTATCGCTCACATATCAAACGCACTGCAAGCCCCCTTCCCGCAAGCGCGTAAACACAGGCACACATACACATACACACACACACGCACACACACACACACATACATGTACACACATCCGCCCAAGTAAATGTACATGTATACGTTTGCGCACACAGGCATGCACGTACCCAGTCACCATTTTTGCCTGCAAATTCTTGTGGAGTAAATCTGGGTTAAAGAAACTCAAAATATAAAATTACACATGTTTCGGTACACTTATCCTAAATTAACAGTTTTTTATCGTTCCAATGTTCGGTTCGTTAAAGAAATTGAATTGCAATGATAAAACGTTCGTCAATTTGTCTCCAAATCGCTTATACATGCAGTCTATGCCATTTCAAGTTTTTCAAGATTTCTACTGGAAACATTCGACGTTCTTTTCCTCAGAAATTTTACAATTGTTTCGCCTAGAATCTGTGAGGTTTCGCTCAGTGGTAGAGCTGAAGATGACTGAATGTATAATTTATTTCAAGGATTCCCCGGCCAGAGGCCGTTTAGGCCTATCGAGGGGGTCTCCACTTATGTACAGTTAGTATGAGATCATGAGAATGCAAACACTGTGAACAGAGAAAAAGATAATGACAAGTTCTTCTAACACGAACAATAGAACAACTATGGTCTCAGATGAAGAGCCAAGCGTAAATTTATAGTAAAGAGAAAAAGGACCAGTCAGTGTCATGCAATGTTATCGCATGAGCAGATTGTTTAGTTACTGGTGGTGTTAGAGCTGATGTTGCTGTAGGCTCGTGCTCGTTCCGAAATGCTCCACTGGATCGAGTAGTCTTACCGTCTTCTCTTCACTTTCCAGACATACTTGGGTAGCTCGCTACTCTTCCTTCTCTGCTCGTGGTTGAATGAGCACTTGTTGTTTTCGCAACGGGTGTTGAGTGTTGGCTGTGTTCCTCGGATAGAGCAACATGCCTCAACAAGAGAAATGAGCTCATCTCGAAGTGTAGGAATGCCTACAAATTCTCGCTCGCTTTCTAGACTGGGGTCACATTACGAGATGTGTATTGTGGGGGTGCGAGCTTGGTAGGTTCCAACGGAACACACGCACGCACAGACACGTACACACATGTATACTCACACGCGCACACACATTATCTCTATTTCTCTCTCCCTTTCTCTCTCTCTCTCTCTCTCTCTCTCTCTCTCTCTCTCTCTTCTCTCTGTCCCTTCGTCTCTCTCTCTGTCTATCTCTCTCTGTCTCTCTGTCTCTCTCTATATGTCTGTCTCTCTGTCTGTCTCTGTCTGTCTCTCTCTCTCTGTCTCTCTGTCTCTTTGTCTCTTTTCTCTCTCTCTCTCTTCTCTCTCTCTCTCTCTCTCTCTCTCTCTCTTTCTCTTGCTCTCTCTCTCTCTTCTCTCTTCTCTTCCCTCTCTCTGTCTCTCTGTCTCTCTCTCTCTCTCTGTCTCTCTCTCTCTCTCTCTCTCTCTCTCTCTCTCTCTCTCTCTCTCTCTCTCTCTCTCTCTCTCTCTCTCTCTCTCTCTCTCTCTCTCTCTCTCTCTCTCTCTCTCTCTCTCTCTCTCTCTCTCTCTCTCTCTGTCTCTCTCTCTCTCTCTCTCTCTCTCTATCTGTCTGTCTCTCTGTCTGTCTGTCTGTCTGTCTCTCTCTCTCTGTTTCTCTGTTTCTTTGTCTCTTTTCTCTCTCTCTCTCGTTCTCTCTCTCTCTCTCTCTCTCTCTCTCTCTCTTTCTCTCTATCTCTATCTCTCTCTCTCTCTCTCTCTCTCTCTCTCTCTCTCTCTCTCTCTCTCTCTCTCTCTCTCTCTCTCTCTCTCTCTCTCTCTCTCTCTTGCTCTCTCTCTCTTCTCTCTTCTCTTCCCTCTCTCTGTCTCTGTCTCTGTCTCTCTCTCTCTCTCTCTCTCTCTCTCTCTCTCTCTCTCTCTCTCTCTCTCTCTCTCTCTCTCTCTCTCTCTCTCTCTCTCTCTCTCTCTCTCTCTCTCTCTCTCTCTCTCTCTCTCTCTCTCTCTCTCTCTCTCTCTCTCTCTCTCCCTCTCTCTCCCTCTCTCTCTCTCTCTCTCTCTCTCTCTCTCTCTCTCTCTCTCTCTCATTTCTTTCTTACATGCATGCACCTACATGCTTAGCTTTATGATTCACACTCACACGAAACCACATATTGCGTCAATATCCACACTGGTAACTGCTTTGTGACACCTACTTCCCAACCTTTCGGCCCGACACACGTCCCCCTGAAACCTACTTCTTGCGCCGCTTTGTTCTCCCATCTTCGTAGTAGCCATACAGTGGTATACGTCAGCCATGACACTTGCACTACTATTGGTACTATTTTATGGAAAATAGGAATACCATTTGCTGGGGAGTAACGCCGGTCACCAGTACATCCTGGAACACAGCAATGGTCGTTGGTTGGCATCCGAAAACAGGGAAAAATCACTCCAGCCGCGATAAAGGGAGCAAAACCGTTTCTTCTTTCCAGATTTTCAGCCTAATTTTTCAGTAATGTAAACGCCAATGGAAGTGCTAAAACTAGTAGCGGTGGCACTGCATGCATTTCATTCATGCACGTGCAGCACATGATCACATAAGCGCGCCACAAGCCTAAAATCCGTGTACTTTGCACATCCCGTGCACTTGACAAGCTAAGCCTAGGCGCATCAATCGTATGCCCCTGCGCCCTCTCTACTTTTCGAGCGTTTATTTGGCACATCAATGACAAGGCTATAACTGATGCTGCCTTCTTTTTCAGATTCGTACTCGTGTCAAAATGCCAACGTGTGCAGTGTGGGTATGGCGTGGAGGTAATCAGTTTTCCACGCGCTGCTCATGACGCTGCGTGTGTGCAATGTTTGCAATAGATTGTCAAGTCAACCTTCCTCGCCCGGTGCGAAAGGTCCCTATCGCTAGCATTATCCGCCCAGGCCTATTGACAGGTATGGGTCACTTTGAGGTTGGGGATTTTTTTTGGTGGCTCCTGCTCCTGCGAAAGCCAGCCTGCACTGGCTGCAGCACTGAGCCTGAAATTGGGGAGAGGTGTAATAAGGATAGAGGTGGAGAAAAGCTAAGCCAGCTGATCATCGAACAGGACTTTTCATACTCTAGGTACTAAGGCCCGGTGTGCGGGATAATGCTGGCGCGGAACTGGCGGAGCGTGGAGATGGCACGTATAGCGCTGGGTAAGCAGTTCCACAGCAGGGCTTACGAAGGATGAAGGATGCGTGCCCATTCCGAGACCTCCAGTCTGACATTCCTGATGTGATGCATTCATTCACAGTGGAGTGACAGGAACAAAATACTGATGTCTTCTTTACAGTCTTAGTTTGATAGGTCTGTGGTTGCAGTGGGCAGGTGTTTTTTTTTTTTTTTTTTTTTTTTTACTAAGGCCACAGCTTCCTCTGCTTCTTAGTCGACAGACCTGGGGGAAGTTGCCCAAAGCATGAACACTAGTCACTGAAGTGTACGTCTTTGAATAAATAGTGGTGGCGCTCGAAAGAGAAAGAAAGAGCTCCATACAAGAGCTGTATGGCGCTAGAGTGCTCTTGTTGTTTTTCTTGCTCTTGCACTTGCATTTGCACCCACTCCAAAGCGATAGGAGAAGAAGTAAGTGGCCTTTCTCTGTGTGCAGAACGTAGTTTTCCTTCTCTTTACGAGTTTTGGCACTTGATTGCACCATCTACAGTGTAACCTTCGCAGGTCAATTGCGAACGAAAGATCTTAGCTAGAACTTACTTAGAAGTCACTGTTACTGCAACAGGTATAAGCTCAAGGAGCTGCATATGCGCATAGCGATCGCTGTCAGTACTTCTGACCCACCCACTGGCACAGGGAGAAATCAAAGATAGTTCAACGACACTGGTAAGGCCTATTCCGTATGTTATTTTGGCAATGCACATCCCACATGTCAAATGTACATTTGTGCATGCATGTACATGTACGTAGCGGTCGGCGGGTGTAGCCAAGCCACTACTACTACTACTACTACTACTACTACTACTACTACTACTACTACTACTACTACTACTACTACTACTACTACTACTACTACTACTACTACTACTACTACTACTACTACTACTACTACTACTACTACTACTACTACTACTACTACTACACTGTACTCCTACTACTACTACTACTACTACTACTACCGCCCGTGGTACCGGTAGACTGCGGTAGTACTAGTACTTAGTAGTATCCCACGGCACCCCCAGTCCTTTCCTAAGTACGGTAGTGTGTTATGGTGTTGCTTATGCAGTAATAGCAGTATCGTGTGTGCCGATAGTACCTACCACGGCTGTCCGCGGCTGACCAGATTACAATATGGCGTCGTTCCACCGGGTTTTAGAGAAGTTTTGGAAACTCGATGCGAATCGGTAAATTATTGTGAATAGTAACAAAACCAAGTTGGTTTTCAGTATGATTCGACACAAAAAACGCAAACAGTTGAAGATCGTTTGAAAATTTGAAAGAGGAGCATGATCTTGTGCTCCAAATGTTTTTCTTTGGAGCGTTGGAAATACAAACACGAAGACAGACATTGCTGTCACCACGCTGTCTTCTTACCTGTTTACGAGGAGACTGAACCTTGGTCCTCGGCTTTCCTCTTCTGTGGACGAGGAGCCAGCGTACTGGCTTCTTTGGTGGTTGTTAGCAGATGCTGCTTGGCGACAACTTTCAGCCTGGCGAGGTCTCCTGGTATGTTTTTATAGATGGCGTTGAGGGTGTTGAGACTGGCGTGCAAGCTCTCTGCCCCTTGCTCCGCGAGCAGGCTAAGACCAACGCCAAGTTTCCTGATGAGCGGCACCGTATGATTCTCTAACAGGTGAAGTTTCGGCGTGATGTTTCCAAGTCGCCGTGTCACAACGTGTCGTCTGCACATACTCAAGAAACGCCGAACTTCAGACTCCAGCTGATCCATCTCGTCTGCTGAAACTGCCTGGCTGTGACTGAAGATAGCTCGACAAGAAGCGTAGCTGTTCATCAGATTCTCGTGTAAAGATGCTATTGTTTGGGCCTCCTCCGCCAGGACTGGACACCTGGACGTGAGGACCGGTACGTGAGCATGGCTGATGGCAGTGACCACGGTGGGCTTCAAGGCTTGGTGGACGTGATTGCCGATGAAAGCACCACCGTGGTACACTTGACGTTCGATCTTGTGGTGTTGGAGAACAGGCTCCACAGAGGCTACGCATGGGCCACTGAAGTCCTTACTGCGGCATAGCTTGGCGATTTCGCCCTTCAAGGCGTCGACAGTCGAAGTGTGTTGCTGGGTCTTCGTAACTGCTGCCGTGCCTGAATGCCATGTCAAGCTTTCAGGCAATCGTGCCTGTCACTCTCATTGAGGATGTCGAGGAAGTGCATGACAACAGCGACAAGGT